TACATAGATACCTAGATACCTAGATACATAGATGCATAGAGACATAGATATATTGGTACATAGATACATAGATCGATAGATAGATATATATAGTGAAGAGACCTAAGAACACTCAGCACATAGTTGCTGTTGTTTTTTAATCTATAACCTAAAAGATAATTTAATACCAATCGAGACCGAAACTTTTGCAACGATTTGATAAAAGGATTTAAATTGTTGACATCTAATGAAATACGCGATTATGCGACCGGCGTACAAAAATGGTTTTAACAGTAGCAAAACCTATATGAACAGCAAAACTCAAAACCAAAACAAAGGTCGTCGTCGTCTTTCTTCATTGCACTATATAAAAACGCAAATACGATAAATAACCATGTGGTGGTTTTCGGTTAAGGGAATTCAAATTTTATGATTGGTCAGTTGTTCTCTACCGGGAACTGGGTCTTTTTGACAAACAATAAAGAACATAACCAAAAAGAAACCCATAAAAAAACACATTGAATGTACCTGTGTGGGGGGGGTAAATTTAGGAAAAGTACTTTGGGTTTCAGAGAGTACGGGGCGTTAGCCGCTATATAGAATTATAAAGTGTTTTATATATTAAAACTTTTCGACACCTCTCAGGACAGGCTCTCCCTCTCACTCTCAGACCTCTCAGGAGTCAGGAATCAAACATTCACCCCTCCGGGGCTCAGGCCCAACTCGTCACTCTCACTGCTCGCAACAAGTTCTCAACGAGGAACGATACATTCAATTGATGTCTTGACTAAATTAAAAAATCCCTTTTGGTTTTTTTTAATAAAATATAATATCTTCTGTATATAAAGCTATTGCGAGCACAAAAGTTTCAATCATTTGTGAGGCATTTAAATATATTAAATCACAACCATTTATATGAGCACAACTAGTGGGTATTGTCATTTGGGTTTTTTTATATTTTCAAGGTTTGAGTGAGTTGTCCTATCAATAATCAATTTGCATCTTGTACATCACGTATGTATTTTTGTTTCTTTTTAAATATCGTCAATCAAAGCGCGACAATTTGTCCCCATATTCGTTTTTATTTTAATTAATTTAAAAAATAGAAATAAAGTGGATACTGCTGAGTGCTGAGAGTCCATTTTGCAACAAATATTGACCAATTCTCATTACTCAAAGACTCTCACTGTCTCACCCACATAATAAACAACAACTTCACAGTTCACACAAGTTTAGGTTTCAACTTTTCACACCAACCCTCACAACTCACAAGCATTGACAATAGACGTATTTAAAAGTTCTATTTTTAGAACAATTTTCAGCAAGCCGGGCTTATTCTAAAAATAGAACTTTCATAAGTCTATCCTCCATTCCCTCTCTTTGAGAGTATTGAAAACTTTAATCCTTGTTCCTCAGAGAGTCGTAACAATCGATTCTCGATCAGTTGATGGATTTATGTATATACCTTTTTTTTAAATCCCCTTTTCTGAAAAATATATTCCATAACTGGTTTTTAAAATACGGCATTTCAAGGCGCCCTATTTTCATACTGTTGACTCCTGCATTCTGAGTCATGAGTCCGGACTCCGAAACCTAATCCTAATAAGTCAAATGTGTGTCCTATGAATATGATACTATTATTTTTTTGTCTTTCTTTTAAATAAAACCAACCTATCTAAAAACAAAGCGCACAGTTTAGACTTTGGAGGTTAAATTCTTGAGACTATGACAGTATTTCTTTTTTACAACATTGAGTCTAAAAAGTTCAGGTTTACAAGATATGACTTTTTTTTTCCAATAGTTTTTCTCATAATTATTTTAACAAAATATCAGCGAAATTGGGGTTTTTTAACTTTTTTTTTATTGTTTTCCTTGTCTGTCGATCTTTTACTCTCGACAATCTCATTGTCGCATTTTCTATATTTTTCTTTTTCGTTTAGAAAAATAGTAACTCTACTAGTTTCACGAATTACTATCCACAGGAGACCACGCGACTACACTTTATATTAGTCTAAAACTAAATACACTAACGACGAAATAGTCTATTATTGTAACTATTTCTCTACAGTCTATAATCCAGACTCTAAAGTATCAGTCTCTCAGTGTAACAGTCTGTCGAGTTCACAATTGTTGCCAACTGTCTACTGTCTCGTTGTACAATGTACCTTAGACGTCGATAACTCGATATCGGACTTTACTCTATTATGTGCCCAATAATAATATGTGAATGCTTCTCCAGAGTGTTTTCAATCAAACAAGCTGTTTATAGATTTTTTTTAAACTCTTATATTTATTTTTAAAAACAAAAACAATTAACATAATTTTGTTCCGCTTCTCAGTTTTTTCTACATATTTTACAATATTGTTTTTTTGTTATTTTTTAGAAAAGAAACAAAACTAGAAACTATCAAAGCAAACCAATTTTTTAGAAATATATATAAATATACTTTGGGGGTGGTATAAATACACATAAATACTGTATATGTACTCAGTCACAGTGTATAGCTTTACATAGTGTATTTATACCCTAGTTTTTTTTTTTAAATATACAATAGAACCCAAATCGAATAAAGAAGCGTTTACGTTAAACGCTTTTGCTCTTAAAAAACGGATTTTGATTGTCATTCTCTCTGGCCAGGAGGGTGATAGGGCATGGGGATTGGGGCGCTCTTATAAAAAAAGCATACTCTTTTTATATTTATTTTTTAAAAGAGTGTTTGTTTGTAGTCTGTAGTTCTGTCGCTGTGTACTCTACGACAGTCTAAATGACTAAATACAACAGTCTATTTCCGTAAATAATCCTATCTTCAACCCTAAACGGTTGAACCTTTTTAATTTTTTGTAAAATAACCAACTTGGACATAGGAATAAAAAAGCTACGTGTAGGCCTAACGTGAAGTTCGACACAATTATTGTTTTATAAACAGTATAGATATCTGTCTGTGAAAAGTCTGGCCTTTCGCTATCTCACAATCACTTAGCCGAGTTGATAATAAATTTGCTACCTGTTATTAGAATAGTTGTAAGCTATAACCGATTTGTACCATACCCTAGTCTTCAAGAAAAAAAAAGGACTCCCATACCAATCTGTTCAGAGCTATTTGAAACATTTCACAAATATGATAGTCTGGCTCGAAAAATCCAAATAAAAACTTCCAGAAACGAGCGCATATTTCTTTTTTAAGATATCATATCAACCTCACCGCATATACGCACCGTTGGATTGGTACGCCAAAGGTGCGCGTTGATCCACTTCATAGTAGTTACTGTATCGTAAATTAGAGTTGTTTTCCTCAAAAGGACCACTATTATCAGCATTCAATCCAGGAGTGTACCGTTGGTCACCGTTCATGTCTTGATTTCCGTTCGAATACCACCCTTGATTTTCTGATGGTATGTAACCAGCTCGACTGGTCATCTCGCGTGCGTTGTTCTGTTCACAAGAGGGCTGATCACTGACAAACTCAGAGGTAGTACACGGCGCCTGCTCTTGCATTCCCATGAAAGTATTCATATTCTGAATCGGCATCTGGCCTGCATGACTAGTTGAAGAGTACTGGACAACAGTGCGTGAGGAACTATTCTGCGTTCCATATATGTTGTAAGCGTTCGGCAATGCATTGTGAGAGATACCGGTATGCCTCGACATGTGCATATTAGCGTCGCCATATGATGTATATTCTGCATCAACATTATAGTGACGACTGCTCATATGTTTATGGTGGCGCCCGTTCCGACTGCGTTTGCTGCGCTTCTTCTTCTTCTTATGCCCAGCGGCTGCAATTTCTGGGCGCGGATGTGCATGAGATCTCGCCCGCTTGTGCTTGTCGCGACCCATGGTCATTGGTGGTAACATATTGGTACTAGCATATCCATTAATACAAGCTTGTGATGATGCTACCTCTGTATTCAACTGCGCATGCTGAGACGATACCTGATACGGACCGTCTGGTACCGACCCATCGTTATGCGTAGTCACACCAGTATGCGTATGTCCCATACACCCACAGCCTCCAGTTTTCGGTATAGTAAAGGGAAGATTGGTGTTTTGGTCCCATGCGTTAATATCGGGTCGGCTCTCCAGATTTGAAGGCTCGTGTAATTCCACCCTTGTCTGTTGCTCGTGCGAAGATTGTTGTGTGGAGGATGTCTGATGAATCCGAGGATTATGTTGCTTATGGGAGGATTGCTGCATATGAGATACCTGTTGCATATGGGACTGTTGTTGCTGATGTCCAAGATGACCTCCATTAGCAGGCCAAGCCTTGCTATGTGATGGACTGTAATTACCAAGTTGTGCAACATAACCCTCATCCACCTTTCGCTCCTGATAAGTATTGCTGCTGCCAGAGTTACCACCACATGATGCACTTTGACAGTCGCAAGACTGCACAGCGGGGCGTGACTCAAATTGGTTAGACGGTTGCGGGTTAGACTGCATGCTAGCCTCTCCATGCATATTCGAAATAGATTGCTGCTGCTGTTGATTAAGCCGACTTGAGTCCACCACATCAGTCTGCCAGGTATCTACAGCCAGATTATCTATACTCCTGTGCTGACCTGAGTTGGCGCTGCATACTCCATAGTTAGTAGGATTTTGCACCTGCATACCTCCACGTACGTCCAAAGTCTGATTGCCCCTCATCTGCGACAATGATGGTTCGTGTTCTTGCTCTCGACTCGTGGAGAGATCATCTCTCGTGCCGAGGACCACATCCCTAGAATTCATCCGCGAGTCCGATCGATGGCCCGAGCGGGATCGATTAGCTGAGCGGTGTCGTTTGCGAGACTTGATGCCAACTTCGATTGGTTGACAATACGCGTCGTGACATTGCGCCCCTTGCAGTCCTTGATGGATTTGTTGCTGCTGTTGCTGTTGCTGGTATGGGTACTGCAACACCTGTTGCGGAACTTGATCTCGACTTCTGCATACTTCGTGGGGGTTTGAGCACATCTGGTGAGTGTTGTTGAACCCATTGCCCACGTTCACGAAACCGGCATTGCAGCTGCAAGTCGTAGGCTGACGTGATAGTTGTGTATGTGTAGATTGTGCCGCAGTTTGAACCCAAGAGTGAGACGGTGTCTGCATTCGAGAGTAAGGATTAGTCGCCGTCATGCCTCCAATGTCGTGCGCGCTATTCATCATTACACCTCCATCGTTAAGCATGGGCGCTCCACCTTGCCCCTGTTTTTGCTGTGAAGGCTGCACAATTTGTTCCGCACTCCATATTGGCCCTGTCTGTAACCCGCCCCGAGTTGGTTGATTTGAACTCGCCATCTCAGACTTAACTGAAATCGGTCGTGATAGACTCTCTAAATTTTTCGACTCGATGTTCACCTGATTTGGAATATTCTTAGGTGCGTACGTTGTTGACCGCGTGGCAGTCGCCATAGATGAAACACTCTGTGTACAATCGCTCAATGGCTCATCATGTTTATGCTTCAGACGGGCGTGAAGGTGTCGAGCGTGGTTAGACGCGTACGTGCGTCTACAGTCCTTGTACAGACACGCAAACGATCGCTTGAGCTCTGACTTTTTGCGACGTCGGCGCGCTTGATTGACTTTCGACATATCAAGTACAACACCATCGATTGTCGTCAAAAGTTGTCCTTCCGAGCCTCGTAACTCGCCATTGATGCAGCGCATGGCGGAAACATTCGTGCGACTATTATCAGAATAATAACTGATGCTCATGTCTCCTTGGCTTCCATTCGGAATGGTGCGATCATCTGAGTGATGCAGGCCCTCAACCGAACCGCCGACAGCGGCACCATCTGGCCGAGAATATCTCCCAGCATCCATCGTATATTGACTGGCCCAACTGTGCGACATATTCTGCTGTCGCGTGGTTCTTAGACTGCTGTCTCGGTTGGCAGCGTCGATAGAGTGGATGCTACCATCCTCGCTAGTGGGCAATTCTTGGTCAGCCCCTTTGCTCCCATTCGAGGACCCTTCACCCTCACCCGTGCTGGTGTCGAGATTACATCTATCATTGTAACTGTTCGTACCATCCGCGACATTGAAGCCATTGGCAATAGTACTGAGCTGCTTGATCCTTGGCTGTGGCTGCCCCCCCCGCCATTCGTTTTCTGGCGGTGTAAACCCCTCATCCATGGCCAAAACTGAGCGAGTGTTCGAATCCAAACCCCGCTTCGACGTCTGCACAGCTATCATCATATTATTGGCCAATCCTTTCGTTCTGGGTGGAATTTGCGCTACGTTGCGGTGATCAACTGCTTTTGTTTCCGCAGTTGATGTGACAATGACCTTCGAACTGTCTGCGGGTTTCACCGTTTGACCACCACCGTCATGTTTGAGTCGGTAGTGCAATTGTCTGGAGTGATGTGATACATACGACAGGGAACACCCTTTATATTGGCAAGAGAAGGTTTCTTTTGACAAATGAGTTTTACCTCGTTTGGTCGGATTCTTAACTTGTGCGTAAGAACCATTGAGCTCCTCTCCGTTCGTACTCCTACTGGTATCCTCCACACTAAAAGAACGCCCATTGCGATACCTCGTACGATTGTCCGACTCATTTGCACTACGTCCAGAATCTTCGAAACTGGTGGAGCGATTGTTTCGCTTTCTATTCTGCCTATCACTTTCATCCATGCTACCACTAGAATCCACCGCATCGATTGAAGATTCGTTGCACTCTCCTTCCTGACCACCAGATTCGTTATTACTGCCATTAGAATACCCGTCCGTACTCACATCGTCAACTATTTGTGTATTCGAACTTAAAAAGCCATTTGAAACTTGTCTACACTTGATGCTCGAAGACTGATGTGGCACTGTAGGTGGTGTGGATGTGCGCCTGACAGTTCCAATTCCATTACGCTTCATAGAATCTGCATTTCGAGACGGTTAATAATCAGTATACAATATGGACATCAAATGCACCACAAACCAGTTCCCGTGCAAATCAGTTCCTACTCAAAAATTGGTTGCCATATCTAGTTTAACTCAATAGATATCACATGTGACAACAAATATTGAAATCTCAACTTACTCGCAAGGTTTGGAACTATCTGACCCTTCTGGGTTGTATGGATCTGGCCCGTATCGATCACTCTCTGTGTCCGTGGCATTGCAGTTGCGTTTCCGCCGCCCTTGCACTGAGAATCGGTAGTTTTTATGATTGAAGAAAGATGTTATATGAGACCGACGCAGAAACATAGAAATTTAGGTCAGACACGCGATGGGCTACACCAGTGCGATGAATACTACTTAGTTATTCTATAACTTGAAAATTATATCCTCAAAAGCACACTGGAAGGGACAGCAAGTCGACAACTAGACTCGATAATTGCAGGCGAACCCCCCTTGCAACATTGACCATATTAGACCCCATATGAACGAACACATGATACAAACAATGCGCAAACTTTTTTAAATATAATATTAAGGAGTGTGTAAACACGTCAAGACACAACACACAAGCGTTAGTGAAGACGTCCACAAGGTAGATAACTAATGTCATGGATATAGTTCACTGTAAAATGAGGGTACAAAAGTACAATAGATCCAATTGCTCTTACATTTACGCAATAACCTTGTCCTACATTCCCAGAAATGAAATTCAGACAAAACGTTAGTCACCCCTTCACACAAACAGTAAAATATATTCGCACAAAAGCCCATCTTTCGTATGTGTATACCTCTTTTTTCTGTCTACTAGCCATATCATCAGCTTGAATGTTCGATAAGTATTTAAAATTCAGCTATACGTATGTGTTTCCGCATAAACTCATGTATGTTTGTTCTTGTGAAGGTTGTTTGTATATATCAATCTACTTGGCTATGTGATTACATAAAACCCCTCAAATAGTGTTGTCGACTATTCTAGATATTTTATATTATGAACCGTCTTATGCCAAGTAGGAGGGTTTTAGTCAAAAAGGGATGGCTCAGAAACTGATTGTGAAATACGCATTCTCAAAATTTTCTAAAAACAATACTGCGCAATATCGAAATTTTCTAAAAAATGTTCTAAAAATTGTCGCAAACTCGCAAAAAAAAAAGAGTACTGTATAAGGCCATAAGCGTGTAACGGCTCCAAACTTTCAATGAGTACATTTATAACTCTGACAAAAGATACGAAATCATTGGTCTAGCTTTAGAGTCTAGACTTTTAGGACTTGGTCCGGTATCCGACTGCAGTATCCGTATTCCGTTTCGTAGAACCACTCCAATAAAATCGAAGAACCAGGTCCAGAATTAAATACTGTTCTACTCCGTTAACATAAAATGATCTATCAAAAGATAGCTAATGAGCATAGGAAACAAGAGGGGGGAGCCAAAACTATTCAAAAGTAGAAAAGACGCTTGTTTAGTACTATTTTTATCACAGAAAGCGTAGCTATGGAGTCCTATTTATTTTATTGATGTCCGCAACACTTTTTCCCCATTTGGAGGCCCCCAAGAAGTCCACGAGAGATCCTAAAAGGAATTTCGTTTCAAAAAATAGAACATACTTTTGTGGGTCCGTCCCGTGTGTGAAAGTGAGGCAGAAAGGGTGAGTTATTAGCTACCCTCTTTTAATAAACACTTTTAGTCTTCACGGCGTCCACGCCGTGTTTTATTTTTGGGCTCTATTTAAAACAGCGATCTTCAATTTCATTGGAATGATGTTTGAGCAGTCCAACATGTTTATTTTGTATAGACATAAAAAATCTTATTGGGTAGGCAATAGACTCTTAAAGTAGTTTATTGTCTGTGCACAACATTTATACATTCGGTTGCTCTTGTGCTTGAGTTGTTTATCGGACAGTCTCGGGATTTTTGGAGGCTCGGGTTACAGACTCGGGTCTCGAGTCTCAACACGAACTCAGGAATTGGCTTCAAATATTTCTATTTTATTATGTCGTAAATCTGAATTCTCTCGAGTGAAAAGTGAAAACCTGTTTCTGAGTTTCAGTCTTTCAGACTATCAGACCTCCGTGACTCAGTCAGACTATCAGACCTCCGTGACTCAGTCCCCTCAGTCTCCCTACCTCAGTGGTTGGAAATTTAAATTTATTCGCAGGGGGTAAAATATATTTTTTAAAGGCCAGCAAGGATAAAAAGCATATGAGCTTCTACTACTCTTTAAAACTTTACTCTTGAGTCTTGACTGTCTTCTTTCAAAACAGACCTGTAGGCTGTGACCTGTATTTTTGTGGCTAAATAGTATGAATATCGCATCAGGGGGGAGTCCAAACTCCAGGCATCAGAGCCCATAGAAGGGAAAGAAGATCAAGACCAAGTATAACAGATAAATACTGAGTAAACTACCAAGGACTCCCGGTTTTAACTCTTCGCCCAAGGCAAAAAAAACAAAAATATCTCAGGCTCCCAGAAAAATCAGTGGGCTTACCATTTACCTCTAGTAGAGCAAAGGGCTAACAGCGGAGTGGGAGCATTTATTTGTACAGTATTAGGGACCCTCTTCCAGGCCTGGGGACTGGTAAATATGGAAGAAAGAAAAATGGCAACAACAAAAAAATAGCCGTAATATATTTGGAAAATACGTATTATGAGCCCTTGGCGGAAAATATGGAATATGAAATATGAGACAGTATTGGCATATTATGTAAAAATATTTTCGAAAATATGAAATATGGATCAAATTTACAAAGTGTCAGGCTGTCAGCCTGGCAGCCAGCCATCGGCTGACTTCGGCTCACGGACTCGTGCTCGTCACTCGTCAGAGAGTGGAATCTCTGATTCTTTGACCTTGTTAAGGAAGGTCTCAGAAGGGGTCCATTTGGTTGTTCCAATGGGACCTATACGACAT